CATTCACATGCAAAAGCCTCTGCCGCAGCCTGGGTGGGGCGGGGTCTCAGGGAGTCAGAGGGCGGAGAAAGCAGCCATGGCCGATTCTCCGCCCGGAGTCGCGAGTCTCAGTGTTCCGGTAACGGCTGCAAGCACCTCTGATGGAAAGCCGCCCTCAAGTTCGCTCACTGCCAGACAGACCAGCCTCTCCCCGTATGAGTCCTGGGTCCCCAGAGACTTCCCGGAACCGGAGTTCAGAGCAGTCGGGAGTTTGTGATTCAAAAAGACAGCCGCGTCCTCAGGTGCTACCCCCTTTCCTCGCGCGCGCGCGCGCGCCGCCGTACCTCTGCACTTCACCTCCGCAGCGCCTCTGGCTCTCAGCGTGCTTTTCTTTCCTTCTAGTTGTGGACTTTACACTCAGCCAGCCTTCCTGTTGTTCTGGATGATGTTTGCTCAGTCCTTTGCGGTAATTTTCAATTGTTGTGTGAGGCGATAATTTCCCGGTGTTTACCTATGCCGCCATCTTAGTTGCTCCTCGGTACTTGTCTTTCTCTAACTGGCTTATTTCATGTAACATATTGTTTTCCAGGTCCATCCATGCTGTCAAAAAGGGTAAGATTTCCTTCTGTTTTAAATATATTTTTATTGATTTCAGATAGGAAGGGAGAGAGAAACATCAGTGATGAGAGAAAATCATTGATTGGCTGCCTCCTGTATACCACCTCCTGGGGATCAAGCCAGCTACCTGGGCATGTGCCCTGACCAGGAATTGAGCCATGACGTCCTGATTCATAGGTCAATGCTCAGTCACTCAGCCACACTGGCTGGGTAAGATTTCCTTCATTTTTTACAGTCAAGTAGTAGTCCATTGTGAAAATGTACCATAGCTGTTTTATCCACTCACCTATTCATGGGCACTTGGGCTGATTCCAAGTATTGGCTATTATAAATACCACCATGAACATAGAGGTGCATATATTCTTTCAAATTAGTGTTTCGTGTTTCTTTGGATGAACTAATAAGCAAAATAGAGATAGACTCAGAGAGCAGGCAGACAGTTCTGGTAATTGGGGGTGGAGAGATTCAGCAGAAAATAAAAAGAGAGAAAGAACTCATGAACATGGGTAACGGTGTAGTGGTTGTAGGGGAAGGGGATCGGTGGAGGTGGAAGTGTGTATAGCAGGGATAAATGGTGATGGTAAAAAATAAAGAAAAAATGCAAACACACACACACACCACCAACAACAACAACAACAAACCAGAAGCCCTCAAGTAGTTTTCAAAATGGATGAATACTCTCATGGGCCTCTCATGGCTGCTAGCACATGAGACTCTAGAGAGCAATACCATACTAATTCTATGGCCACAGTCTCTAACATTGTTGTTAACTCCCCAGACAAAAACAAAGATGCTCAAAAGGATGATATCTCTTCTTCCACCCCAATACCTGGTTGACCTTGACAAACATAGTCCAACCACTGTCCAAATGTTTTGATCTGAGTGAAGAACTTCTCAAGGCATAGACCAGCAATCTTTGGCATCACTAGCCCAGGTAAAATACAAAATGGCATTCCTACAAGAAATTTATCCCTCCAAAAAGACACCTAAAATCATGATATAATGCTAGTCTTAAAGGAGAATATTGATATCAGTTTCAATAAAGAGTCATTATATCCAGGGTGCTTTGGCCAGCAATATAACTGAATCTATATTGTAGAAAAGTTGTTGTCATGGAGTTTCTTTATCTTAGTCAGTTCAGGCTGCTGTAACAAAATACCATAGACTGAGTGGCGTAAGCAAGGAGAGGACCCCCTTCCTGGCTTGCAGGTAGGAACCTTCTCCTTGTGCTCATATGGCAGAGAGTGGTATCACTAGTGTCTCTTCCTCTGTGTTTCTTTTTTAAATCTTTACCCAAAGGTATGTTTTTATTGACTTTTAGAGAGAGAGGAAAGGAGGGAGGGGAGGGGAGGGGAGGAGAGAGAGAGAGAGAGAGAGAGAGAGAGAGAGAGAGAGAGAGAGATGTCGTTCAATTGCTTCCATATGAACTCTGACTGGGAATCAAATCTGTAACTTTTTGGTGCACAGGATGACACTCCAATCAATCAGTCCACCGGCCAGGGCTCTTCCTCTTCTTATAAGAGTAATCCTATAATGGGGGTTTCACCCTCATGACCTCATCTAATCCTAGCTACCACTCAAAGACCCTATCACTTAATACTGTGACATTGGGGGTTAGGGCCTCAACACATGAATATTATGTAACATTTGAATATTACATCTGATTCTAGTCAAATAAAGACTAATGGGAGTAATTTATTTCCTGTGTTACACTTCATTTATCCTTTGCAGAGGCAAGGAAAACTCATCCTCTACTGTCCTTCTAGAATTGAGATCAGAAGATAAATTTATAGCTAAGATACTTTAATTCTAAGTACTTAGATTAGGCTAAAATTATTTTTGGAAAATATTCCATACTATATCTCACACAGATCATCTAATTTAAGGACAATTTATATCTCTCTCCTCTTGATGCAATTATAACCAAGCTCTCAAGTTAAAATGCATAAGAATAAAGATGATAGTCCCAGAACTGAATGCTTGAGTTAGATTATCTTCATTGATCTTGCTTTGCAATGTAATAGTGGAGTCAAATCATGTACATAAGTGACTACACAGAACGTTCATCAATCTGGCTTCTCTACTAAAATCCCAGCCACAGAAGAGGCAGTTGAGAAGACTATGGAAGTTATTCTTTTTTTGTTTTTTTTGTTTGTTTTTAGGGTTTTTTTTTGTTTTTCTTTGTTTTTGGTGAGATGCATTTTGCATCTCTTATAAAATGAAAAGGAAAAACACCTCTGTTAGTGTGAATGATGTCTTTCTCTATAAAGATGCTTCCCAAGGACACAGTAGCTACACTCACCAATACTCTCCTGAACAATGAGCCATTTGAGAGACTCACAAAGTGAAAAGAGGGATAATAAAGATGCTCTATCAATTTACATTTACTGGAAATCTTCTCCCACTTCTCAAAGCTTCAATTTTTGAACACAGTTGGCCATTATGGTATTTTATCCTGTAACACAGGAAATAAATTACTCCCATTAGTCTTTATTTGACTACAATCAGATGTAATATTCAAAATATTTAACAATCAGAATCGCACAGGCATTGAACAATTAGAAAAGATGCATACATGAGCTAGTTAGTGAATGTCCCTTATTTCACTAGAACTTAACTCCTTAATGGCTAGATTTGAGAGGGTCAGGTGCAGGTTGAGAAGGCTTGCCCTGCCCTTGAAAAACAGCTGGAACTGGAACTGACTGGAACTGGAAGTTAGGCTACAGCTGTCTCCAAGTCACATAGCTAGCACAAAACTGATCCAAGATTAGAGCCGCAAACTCCCAAAACTATGTTAATACTGGTCCCTCCTATGAAAAAAAAAGGAAATAAAGGCTAATGCTATCCACTCAAAGGTTCACATTTCATGACTTAATTATGACACATGCTTATACAACTTATAATTCTATAATACGTTTATGCATTGGAAAAGAAAGATTGCAGTGCACATGGAAAGGTTTATCTGAAAGGACTATAAGTTTCACCAGTAAAATTTTGGAACAAGAAAAAATGATATAACCATTGTTTTGGATACTCTACTTTTTTATTATTTAAAGATAGAGGACTCAACCACTTAAAGACAGCCAAAGTTCCCCTTTCCACTAACCCCTAGTAATTTTTCTAAGAATGATTAGGAGTGGACTTGATTGACAGGCTAGTGACTAACCTTCTTCTCATAAGTTCTTCATGCTCATTTTTAAACCATGGAAAACACACAAAAATATAAAGACTATAAGTCATCCACTGTCCTACTGCCCAGGGATATAACCACAGTTAACATTTTAATATATTTTCTTTCAATCTTTTTATTACACACACACACACACACACACACACACACACACACACACACACAAATTGAAATAACCTATATTTATTTAAAAAACTAAATATTATGGGAATTTTATAATGGTCATTAAAATTTGTGAGAAACAAAATTTAAAGTTTTCTTAATACTCTAACATATGGATGCAGCATAATTTATTTAACTATTCCCCTATCTTTAGAGAACAGCAGGGCTTGGACAGGAAATATATGGTTATGTAAATAACAGGACCTGAATTAACTACAGAAGATTAAGAACCCCAGTTATTCCTTGGTCTCTGCAATTTAATAGAATCCAGGAAGGCAGGACAATCAAACACAGTATTTTTAGTCTCTAGAAGGATCCATCCATATTCAAATATATTTAGCCATTTTTGCTGAAGGTGTGCCCAGAGCAAAATATTTAAGAGAGGGGCTCCTTATCACAATGGTGAGAGTCCCATTGCCAGAGAACACCACTCAGGAAACTCACCGAGGTCAATGAAAACCCAGCTTTGGTCTAAAAAAGTGAATCAAGGTTTCTATTTACCAAATTTATGATATTGAAAAATATCTAAACTTGAGTTGAAATTAGTCGATTATTGCATTTTTTAATCCTCTAAGTGATGGTCAAATTTTAATGAGGGGATTTATGTCTCCAGAAAACATAAATTGTAAAGTGTTGTAGGTAGGCACATAAAGAGGTGCTTAGTCTTCTCCAGATAAATAATTTACATATTTAAAAAGAATTACAGCCCTAACTGGTTTGGCTCAGTGGATAGAGTGTCGGCCTGCGGACTGAAGGGTCCCAGGTTTGATTCCGGTCAAGGGCATGTACCTTGGTTGCAGGCACATCCCCAGTGAGAGTGTGCAGGAGGCAGCTGATCGATGTTTCTCTCTCATCAATGTTTCTAACTCTCTATCCCTCTCCCTTCCTCTCTGTAAAAAAGTCAATAAAATATATTTTTAAAACAAGAATTACATTTCTTACTGGTATCTTTGACTTGAGGATTGTGTGATTGCATGTAGTTCATCTGGAATATGGAACAGAGCAGGTCATTTAGGGATGGATGAGAGAGCTGAGGTAATTTCATAGAACAATGCTTTCAAAGGATTGTGAAAAAGGAAATGGCCAGCAGTACATCAAAGTGTACTGCTGACATTAGGAAGTGACTGTTCATCCAGGGGGCATGTTTCCCAGCCCCTCTTTCATCTCATGGGGCCATGTGACTAGTTCTGGTCAAGGAAATAAAAGAAGAAGTGAAGTATTTACCACTTCTGGACCAAGGATCAAGTATTCCATCCTTGTACTATTTTCTTTCCCTTCTGAAGTTACCAGGGAGGCTCATACTGAACACAACAGCAACACAAGATGGAAGGAGGTTGCATTCTTGGGTCACCATTTAGAGTAGCTGCTCAGGACAACTGACTACCCAGGAACATCAGCAATGAATTTTGTGTAACTGAGAAAGAAATATTTATTATGTTAACCCATTGACATTTGAAAGTTGTTTGTTAAATTACTCAGCCTATCTCAACAGAGACTCACTAAAAAGGCCTCTGCGGCAGAGAAGCATCGAACAGACTATCAAATTACAGTGGGAAGGCTGGGGAGTGTTGAAGGGGGGTAAGAGATCAATTGAAGGGCTTATATGCATGCATATAAGCATAACCAATGTACACAAGACACTGGGGGGTGGGGTAAGGGCATGTGCGGGGGGGGGGGGGGTAGGGGAGGCCGGGGGAAGGTCAATGGGGAAAAAAAAAGGAGACATGTACTGCTATTTGTAATATGTTAAACAAGAAATAAAATTTAAAAAATAAAAATAAATAAAAAGGCCTCTGCTTTCTGACAACTTGGAGCACTTCTTCAAGATAGATATCATTGTTTCTCAGTAAAACTAGGCGGGGGGAAGATGGAAAACAACACAAATGAGGGAAATACATGGCAAAAAGAGAACAAAGAACCAAGGTTTATAGTCACAGGGAATCAAACTTAAAGTTCCAGAAAATCAAGGCAGTGGAGGGAAGTCTAAAGTCAAATTTATTTTTTATATGAGTGAGTTCTTGATTTGTTCCCTGGCCTACATGACCAATGAAACAAGTTACAGACATATTTCTGTCAACAAGCAGTGTTTCTTTGGTATTTAAATAATTTCTGCTCCCAAAATTATCTCCCTTTTTGATTGATGACTCTTTGCTCTTGATTTTAGGTCACATTCTAATTCATTGAGTTCTCTTGAGATTTTGGTTACTGGTTGAAGCAACAATAAAGGCATGAAAAATAGATCAAGATTTCATTACACAAATTAAAGATGTTAATGAAAGCTTTTTTATCCTGAACAAGATCACTCAAGGTTTTGTAGTCAACTATAGATTTTTTTTAAACTATAAAAACATTCACAGGGACATGAACCCACACATCTGGTTACTAATATCTTGAGTGGTAAATGCTCCTTGTTTTATTCTCCAAGGATAAAGGAGTGTTAAATTGTTATAATGTGTTATCCCTTGCCTTCTGCAAGCCCCCCTGCTGGAATTGCTGACCTTCATTTCTATTTATCTATCTATCTATCTATCTATCTATCTATCTATCTATCTATCTATTCATCCACCTATCTATCTCTATATCTCTCTATCTAGTTTAAGATAGCTAGTTAACTAATTTAAGCCCTAATAATTTAGTGGGCAAGGAATATATTAACTGCTAAAACCAAACCTAACTAGGGCAGAGAGTCTTATGGGAGCCCCAACCACACCCAAAAATGGGTTCTACACTGTCTTGCTGCTCTAGTATAGAATGGGGCAAAAGTAGGTTTAGAGTTGTTCATATGGAAAATAATACAATAATTAATATATAATAATATAAGAATAAACTCTATTTCACATACTCACAACTGTAAACCTACATTTTCCCCAATCTGTATGATCCTAGGATGACCTAGTGTGTGCTATTTCCTCTGGCCTCTCAGTTCCTTACAGTATGGGCATTATATACTCAATACCCAGCCCAGAATCTAGCCCATAGAAAGTACTTGACAAATGTACACTGAGAAGAACTAAGTTGTGGAATGCTCAGAGTCATAATTTTCTTACAATACTTTCTGAATTGGTAAAGTCTGTTTGCATGGGCTTCCACCTCAGTTTCTTTATTTTTTTTCCTTTTTTAAAAAATATATTTTATTGATTTTTTACAGAAAGGAAGGGAGAGAGATAGAGAGTTAGAAACATCGATGAGAGAAACATTGATCAGCTGCCTCCTGCACACCTCTACTGGGATGTGCCTGCAACCAAGGTACATGCCCTTGACCGGAATCAAACCTGGGACCTTTCAGTCCGCAGGCCGACACTCTATCCACCGAGCCAAACTGGTTAGGGCACCTCAGTTTCTTATTAGGGTTGAATACCATCCTTGCAAATCAGCCCTAGCAATCCCTGGACTACTCAGGACCCTATTATAAGATTTTGGACCCTGTTTTCAGTAGATCCATCTATTGTTTGAGGGCCTTCTCCAAAAGAATCAAAAGTCACTCTCAACTTGATTTAAGAGCACTCCAGCCAAATGTACCCCTCCCACCCATGTACACACATATAAACTTTGGTAAAGAGATAACTCATCCCACTCTACTGGATACTGCATTTTCCATTGTTGGACAGCCATGCCTTAGGAACACAGCCTGTTACTCCTCTGCTTTGTCTCTTAACTTGTCCCACTATTCTGACTGCATCTCCCTCAACACCTGGTCACTGAAGAGGCTCTAGTAAGTCCCTCAATGGAGTTTCCTCACTCCACTAACCCCAATGTATGTCCCAAAGCAAGCTGCAGGAACTTTTCAAATGACTTCTGCTACTTATCATATCTGAAGTTTGCTACGTGCAATTAACAGAATTAGCAATTCATAGAATATGTTGTAGTCTACCAATAACTCATTTGATCCAGGATTTATTGAAGGCAAAAGAACTCTACCTACTTACAAAATGAATTGAAGTGACATATACCTGTGACTAATCTATCTCTATATATAAAAGGCTAATATGCAAAGTATCCACGTAGGAGTTTGACCAAGAGACTGAGAGTTATATCGCGCGCCATGATGTGTGCTGATCACCAGGAGGCAGCATGGAATGAAGGAAGGCCCTGGCAGGCAGCTGGCAGCCAGGGAAGGGAGGCCCTGGCCAGCAGCCAGAAGGCCCTGATCAGCCCTGATCGCCAGCTAGGCCTAGGGATCCTACTCATGCACGAATTTTGTGCACCAGGCCTCTAGGTATATATAAAATAAATGGGGGATAGAAGTAGGCATCATCATAAAACAGTAACACGAGGGGTCCTTGTAGGGTTATAACTGCTCTGTATGTTGACTGTACCAATGTCAGTATCCTGGATTTAATATTATATTATCGTTTTTGCAAGATTTCACCTTTGGGGAAAGTAGTTATATAGTCTGTATTATTTCTTGCAACTGCAAGTGAATCTACAATTATTTTAAAATAAAAGGTTTACTTAAAATAAATGAATGGGAGTAAAAAATATATTAGGCACTTTTGGAGTTTGCCCTGAAAAGTTTTGTGTACAGAAGCAGAAAGTCCATTAAGCTTTAGCTAACTGGCTGAATTGATTTTCTGATAAAAAATTTCAGATAAGTTATAGATTAGTTAGGCAATTCTCAGTAAGAAAAATAAAGAATCAATAGAAGCATAGTATCAAAACCTTCTTAAATTTACCAGGATATGAACCATTCAACTTCTGACAATAATATGAAGAAAACTTCTCAGAGCAAAACATTTAATTATTTCATTTCCCAAACTGTGTATGCCATAGTGATAGCTATGTGAAACAGCAAAATGAATATCTCATTCTCTGTTATAAGTCATATGAGATAATATGTGATTAAAAGTCAAGATGCCTCTTGACCAGAGAAATAAGTATTAGAATGCAATCAAAAAGTCAACTACACATATGTCCTTTCTGATTGGTGTTTCTGGTTTCTTGGGATATATTCATAGAAGTGGGATTACTGGGTCAAATACGAGTTCCATTTTTAACTTTTTGAGGAAACTTCATACTGCTTTCCACAGTGGCTGCACCAGTCTGCATTCCCACCAGCAGTGTACAAGGGTTCCTTTTTCTCCACATCCTCACTAGCACTTGTTTGTTGATTTGTTGATGATAGCCATTCTGACAGATGTGAGATGGTATCTCACTGTCGTTTAGATTTGCATCACTCAGATGATTAATGACTTAGAGCATGTTTTCATATGTCTCTTGGCCTTCTGTATGTCCACTTTCAAAAGGTGTCTATTTAAGTGCTTTGCCTATTTTTTTCTTGGATTGTTTATCTTCTTTTTGTTAAGATGTATGAGTCCCCTATAAATTTTGGAGATTACGCCCTTATCAGTTATAACATTAACAAATATGTTCTCCCATGCAGTGGGCTTTCTTGTTGTTTTTTGATGGTTTATTTTGCTGTGCAGCTTTTTATTTTGATGTAGTCCCATTTGTTTATATGCACCCCTATGTTCATAGCAGCACAATTTACCATAGATAAGATTTGCAAACAACCTAAATGCCCATAAGCAGATGAGTGGATTTAAAAACTGTGGTACATCTATTCAATGGAATACTATGCTACTGTAAAAAAGAAAGAACCTTTACCATTTGCAACAGCATGGATGGATCTGGAACTCATTATGCTAAGTGAAGTAAGCCAACCAGAGAAAGATAACTACCACATGTTCTCACTCGTTTGTGGAATATAATGAACAACATAAACTTGATGAACAAAAATAGATACAAAGAAAAAGAAGCATCAAACAGACTTTCAAACTTCAGTGGGAAGGTGGGGGCGGGGGGTAAGAGATCAACCAAAGGACTCGTGTGCATGCATATAAGCATAACCAATAGACACAGACACTAGGGGGAGGTGAGGGCATGTGCTGGGGGTTGGGGGTGCACCAGGGGAGGTCAATAGGGGAAAAAGGAGACATATGTAATACTATACATAATACTTTAAACAATAAAAAAAAGAAAAGTCAATTACACATAATAACCCAAAATCTATGGGGCACAGTGAAAGCAGTACTGAGAGGGAAGTTCATAGCATTACAGGCCTACCTCAAGAAGCAAGAACAATCTTATGTAATAAAAGCCTAATATGCTAAGTATCCGATCATCTGGTCATCCATTCAACCAACTAAAGCATAATATGCTAATGATATGCTAAGGCTGCTCAACCGCTCGCTATGACATGCACTGACCACCAGGGGTCAGAGAGTCGATCAGCTGACCAAGTCGCTATGATGTGCACTGACCACCAGGGGGCAGACGCTCCAACCAGTAAGTTAACTTGCTGCTGGGATCTGGCTGATCGATTGGGACTGAGCGAGAGAGTCTGGACATGCCCTGGAGCCCTCCTGCGGTCCCTCCCTGGCTGGCCAACATCCCTCATCCCTCCCTGTCCCCAATTGTGCACTGGTGGGGTCCCTCAGCCCGGCCTGTGCCCTTTTGCTATCTGGGACCTCACAGGGGATGTTGGAGAGCCAGTTTTGGCCTGATCGCACAGGCCAGTGAGAGGGACCCCACTGGTGCATGAATTCATTCACCATGCATCGAGTCTCAAATAAATATCTAACCATACACCTAAAGTAATTATAAAAATTATAATAAACCAGCCCAGAGTAAGTAGAAGGAAAGAAATAATAAAGATTAGAGTGGAAAAAAAGAAATAAAGATTTTAAAACAATACAAAGGATCAATAAAACCAAGAGCTGATTCTCTGAAAAGATAAATAAGATTGACAAACCTTTAACCAAATTCATCAAGAAAAATAGAGGACCGAAATAAATAAAATCAGAAATGAAGGAGAAGTACCAAGTGACACCACAGAAGTACAAAGTATTCTAAGAAAATACTATGAACATCTATATACCAACAAATTAAACAATCTGGGCAAAATGGATAAGTTCCTAAAAACATATAATCTTCCATGACTGAATCAGGAAGAATCAGAAAACCTGAATAAACTAATTATAACCAATGAAATCAAAGTACTAATAACAAACAATTCCCAAAAAACAAAAGTTCTGGACCAGATGACTTGATAGGCGACTTTTATCAAACATTCAAGGAAGAATTAACACATATCCTTCTCAAATTATTCCAAAAATTTCAAGAGAAAGAAAAATTTCTAAACTATTTTTTTATGAGGCCAGGATTATCCTAATTTCAAAACCAGATAAAGGCACTACAAAATAAAGAAAATTATAGGCCAATATCCCCGATGAAGATAGATGCTAAAATCCTCAACAAAATATTAGTGAACCAGATCCACCAATACATTAAGATTATACACCATTATCAAATGGGATTAATTCCAGGAATACAAAGTTGGTACAATATCTGCAAATCAATAAACATGGTACATCACATAAACAAAATGAAAGATAAAAAATCACATGATTACATCAATGCATGCAGAAAAAACACTTGATAAAATCCAACACCCATTTATGATAAAAACTGTCAGCAAAGAGGGAATAGAGGGGTCATACTGCGACATAATAAAATCCATATATAACAAATACACAGCCAATATCATACTCAGTGGGCAAAAATGAAAAGCACTTCACTTAAGATCGGGAACAAGACAGGAATGTCCACTTTCAGCACTCTTATTCAACATAGTACTATAAGTGCTAGCCACAGCAATCAGACAAGAAGAAGAAATAAAAGGGATCCAAAATGAAAAGAAGGAAGCAAAACTGTCATTATTCACAGATGACATTATATTCTATATAGAAAACTCTAAAGATGCCACCAAAAAACTACTAGATGTAATAAATAAATTCAGTGAAGTAGCAGGATACAAAATTAATATTCAGAAATCAGTGGCATTTTTATACATCAATAATAAAACTGTCAGAAAGAGAAATTAATGAAACAATCCTATTTACTATTGCAAGGAAAAATATAATGTACCTAGGAATAAATTTAACCAAGGATGTAAAAGACCTGTACTTGGAAGATTATAAGATACTGAAGAAAGAAATTGAAGAAACAAATAAGTGGAAGCATATGCCATGCTCATAGATAGGAAAAATTAACCTCACTAAAATGTCTATACTACTCAAAGCAATCTACAGATTCAACACAAATCCTATTAAAATATCAATGGCATACTTTAAAATCTAGAACAAATATTCCAAAAATTCATATGGAAACACAAAAGACCCCAAATAGCCACAGCAATCTTGAGGGGGAAAAGTTGGAGTTATCACACTACATGATATCAAACTATACTACAAAGCAATCAAAGCAGCATGGCATTGGCACAAGAACAGGCATATAGATCAGAGGAACAGAATAGAGAACACAGAAATAAAACCATGCATTTGTAGTCAATTAATATTTGACAAAGGAGTCAAGAACATACAATGGGGAAAGACAGTCTCTTTAAGAACTGGTATTGGGAAAATTGGACAGAGAACTGAGAAAAAATGAAACTAGACCACCTTCTTACACCATACACAAGAATAAACTCAAAATGGATTAAAGACTTTAATGTCAGACTGGAAACCATAAAAATCCTAAAAGAAAACATAGGCAGTAAAATATCAGAAATTTCTCATAGCAATACGTTTGTAAATATATCTCCTCGGGCAAGAGAAACAACATTTTTTAAAAAATTTAAATGGGACGACATCAAACTAAAAAGATTTGCAGAGCAAAAATAAACCATCAACAAAATAAAAGGAGAACCCACTGAATGGGAGAACATATCTGCCAATGATAATATCTGATAAGAGGTTAATTTCCAAAATGCCTAAAGAACTCATACTACTCAACACCAAGAAGTCAAACAACCAAATTAAAAAATGGGCAAAGGATCACAATAGACACTTCTCCAAAAAACATGCAGATGAGCAATAGACATATGAAAATATGCTCAAATTCACTAATCATCAGAGAGATGCAAATTAAAACCATAGTGAGATATCACCTCATGCCTGTCAAAATGGCTATCATCAGTAAATCAACAAACAAGTGCTGGCGAAGATGTGGAGAAAAGGGAATCCTTGTGTACTGTTGATGGGAATACAGACTGGTGTAGCCACTGTGGAAAACAATTCATAGCCCTAGCCAGTTTGGCTCAGTGAGTAGAGTGTCGGCCTACAGACTGAAGGGTCCCGGATTTGATTCTGGTCAAGGGCACATGCCTGGGTTGTGGGCTTGATCCCCAGTAGGGGGCATGCAGGAGGCAGCCAATCAATGATTCTCTCTCATCATTGATGTTCCTATCTCTCTCTCTCGCTCTCCCTTCCTCTCTGAAATCAATAAAAATATATTTTTTAAAAAAGAAAACAGGAGCCCTGCAGCTGCCCGCCCCACGGCGCCCTGCGCTGCCCTGGCCCGCGGGCCGGCCTCACCCGACTATCACTCACCTATCTCCGTATCAAAGTAATTCCATCTCAAGCTTTCAGGGGACTTAATGAGGTCATAAAAATTGAAATTTCTCAGAGTGATTCCCTGGAAAAGATAGAAGCTAAGGCCTTTGACAACCTCCTCAATTTGTCTGAAATACTGATCCAGAACACCAAAAATCTGGTATACATCGAGCCTGGAGCATTTATAAATCTCCCCCGGTTAAAATACCTGAGCATTTGTAACACTGGCATTCAAAAGCTTCCAGATGTTACGAAGATCTTCTCCTCTGAATTTAATTTCATTCTGGAAATTTGTGATAACTTACACATAACCACCATACCAGGAAATGCTTTTCAAGGGATGAATAACGAATCCATAACACTCAAACTGTATGGAAATGGGTTTGAAGAAATACGAAGTCATGCGTTCAATGGGACAACGCTGATTTCCCTGGAGCTGAAGGGAAACGCACACCTGAAGAAGATGCACCACGGAGCCTTCCAGGGGGCCACAGGGCCCAACATCTTGGATATTTCTTCCACCCAACTACAGGCCCTGCCTAGCAATGGGCTGGAGTCCATTCAGATGCTAATTGCCACCTCATCCTATTCTCTAAAAAAATTGCCATCAAGAGAAAAATTTACCAATCTCCTGGATGCTGTATTGACTTACCCCAGCCACTGCTGTGCTTTTAGAAACTTGCCAACAAAAGAGTAAGTAAAAAACAATAAGTAAAGCCTGCCAAGCTGTGGCAGCAGCTAAAACATCAAAACGCAACTGGTGGAGGGCTCCCTGCCCTTGCACTCCCTGCCTTCTAGGCCATTTTCAGATAGACAAGAAGAAAATGAACCATCCTGCTTCCTCCTGAAAACCAATTCCAAAGAGTCACTTCACCTTGCAGCTAGAGACTTCTGAACCCTATTCTGAGTTAATTGAATTATAGCCTTAAATTATTAGGCTATCATAGCAGCTACAAAATGGATACATTACCAGCATTTCAAAGATCAATTAGCTCTAATCCTTATCAGAGCCAATAATTCCTTAAGAGGTGGGGAAGTAGCCTCAAGAGGATAAATTTTACCTAATGTCTTAATCTTTAATAAAAGATAGACAAAATCAAAAAAAAAAGAAAACAATTCATAGTTCCCACAAAATATTAAAAATGTAACTGTCTTTTGACCAAGCAATCCCCGTTCTTGGAATATCCTATATAATAAAAGCCCAGTGACCAAAACAGCAGAACGACCAGAATGACCAGAGATCAAAATGACCATGGCCACACCCCCCAGTAGGTACCAACACCCCAATTAGGGTGTGGCCAGCCAGCAAACCCCCCCTGGCCCCTGGCCCCAGCCAGCCCTGCCCCCCAGCAGGGAACCCCACCCTGATCCAGGGCCCCCATCAGGCCAGGCTAGCTGGCCCCCATCTGTGCACTGAGCCTCTATCCTATATAATAAAAGGGTAATATGCAAATTGACCCTAAAGGTGGATCAACCAGAACGACTGCTCGACCAGTTACTATGAGGTGCACTGACCACCTCTCAGTCCCTTTCCCTGGCTGGCAGGCTCCCATCGCTCAATGGCAAACAGGGAACTAGGGATGGGTGGTGGGGGATGTGGGTGACTCCAGGCCAAGGCCCTTGCCCCACCAGTCGCCTCACACACAGAGGGCAACCTGCAGCGGGGGTGGGGCTAGCGAGCGGGAGGGAACAGCCGACCTCTTGGTCCCTTCCCCTGGCCATCAGGCTTGGTCACCTGATGGCAAATGGGGAACCAGGGGTGGGTGGTGACGGGGGGCAGGGCTGGCTGCGGGCAGCCAGGGAAGATGGCTCTGATCACAGGCCAGGCCTAGGGACTGTACTCACACATGGATTTCATTTTCCAGGCCTCTAGTATATAAAGAAACATGAAACACTAATTCAAAAGAATAAATATACTCTTATGCTCATTGCAGCATTATTTACAATAGCCACGATCTGGAAAAAGCCCAAGTCCCTATGATTAAATGAGTGGATAAAAAAGCTGTGGTACACTTACACAATGTAATATTACACGACTGTAAAAAAAAAAAAAGGAACTATTATCCTTTGAGACAGCATAGGTGGGCCTGGAGAGTATTATGCTAATAGGCCAGTCAGAGAAAGATCTCACTTATCTGTGGAATCTGATGAACAAAATAAACTGACAAATTAGAAACACAGGCGTGGATACATGGAACAGACTGACAGCTATCAGAGGGGAGGTGGGTCAGGTGGCTGGATGAAAGAAGGTGAAAGGGTTAAGCAAAAAGACACGTGTGTGTGTGTGTCTGTCTGTGTGTGTGTGTGTGTTCGTGTGTGTGTGTGTGTGTGTATGAAGGTGAGCAAAGCAAGGGAAAATGAGGACTGAAAGGGACATTGCTTGGGGTGATGGGTGCAAGATAGTGTGTACATGATGTTTTGTTGAGTTGTGCACTTGAAACCCATATGACTTTGTGAACCAATGTCACCTAAATAAATCAAGAATATATAAGGGAAAAAACCAAGATGGTGGCATAGGTAAACACAGGAAATCGCTGCCTCGCACAGCCACTTCAAAAAAACAACTAAAAGACAAAACGGACATCATCCAGAACCACAGGAAGGCTGGCTGAGTGGAATTTCTACAACTAGAAGGAAAGAGAAACGCACACTGAGACTCAGAGGAGCTGCGGTGTGGAAGTAAAGTGCAGAGGTACGGAGGCGTGGGCGGAAAGGGCTGGCAACTGAGGACCCAGCTGTCTTTTTCAAACGGAAGGGAGACACAAGCTTCCGACTGCTCTGAATGCCAGTTCCAGGCTAGTCTCTGGGGACCCAGACTCATACGGGGAGAAACTGGACTGTCTGGCATCAGGCAGAACTCGAGGGCGGCTTTCTCTCAGAGGCGCTTGCAGTGATTACCGCAGAACAGTGAGACCCAGGTCCTCTTAGGGCAGGGCTGAGGAATAGCCATAGCTGTTTGCTCCACCCTGTTGATTCCCTGAGACCCCGCCCCACCCAAGCTGTGCAAAAGACACAGAGAGAATCTTAAAAGCAGCAAGAGAAAGAAAGTCAGTTACCTACAAGGGAGTACCCATACGACTGTCAGCTGATTTCTCAACAGAAACTGCAGGCCAGAAGGGAGTGGCAAGAAATATTCAAAATGATGAATAGCAAGAACCTACAACCAAGATTACTTTATCCAACAAAGCTATCATTCAGAATAGAAGGTCAGATAAAGAGCTTCACAGATAAGAAAAAGCTAAAGGAGTTCATCACCACCAAACCAGTATTATATGAAATGCTGAAAGGTATCCTTTAAGAAGATAAATAATTTGATGAACAGAATAAACTGGTGAATATAATAAAATCAGGGACATAGAAAGGTAGTGGACTGACAATTCTCAGGGGGGAAGGGATGTGGGGGTCTGGGAAAAGACTGGACAAAAATCATACACCTATGGATGAGGACAGTGGCAGGGGTAAGGGCATAAGGTGGGGTAGGAACTGGGTGGAGGAAAGCTATGGGGAGGGGGGAAGAGGAACAACTGTAATAATCTGAACAATAAAGATTTATTTTTAAAAAAAAAAACAGCCAACTAAAGCGTGTCCCAAAATTCATGCAAGAAGTAATTTGGATATAAAACATGGGTTTATAGTTGGAAATTGTAAATTTTTTATTGATTCATAAAGTGTACAGTATGGGGTTGTGTATGGAATAGCATATTAGTTAAATGGCCCCCACGCACATACGCACTCTCTTGTTGAAATTTTCCATGACCGTTTTGCATAAATGTGGCTGAATTTCGATGAGGCTCATTTTCATCTTGATGGCTTGGTTAATCGACAAAATTGTCGCATTTGGGGGTTCAGAAAATCCAGGAGTGATTGTTGAGAAACAAATGCATCCACAACGTGTCACTGGTGCGGATTTTGGGCTGGAGGCATCATCGGACCATTCTTCGAAAATGCGGCTGCTCAGGCAATAACAGTTAATGGTGCTCACTATCATGACATGATAATCCAGTTTGCCCAATATGCTATTCCATACATAGCCCTATACTGTGTACTTTATGAATCAATAAAAAATTTACAATTTTTAATTATAAAAAAAGAATATATAAGAAACTTATACAACTTAACAAAAATAAGATAATCCAATTAAAAAATGGTCGAAGTACCTAAATAGACACTTCTCCAAAGTGAACATACAGATAGCCAAGAGACATATGAAAAAATGCTCAAAGTCACTGATCATCAGAGAGATGCAAATTAAAACGACAATGAGGTATCACCTCACACCTGTCAGAATGGCTACCATCAACAAATCAACAAATGACAAGTGCTGGCAAGGATGTGGAGAAAAGCAAACCCTAGTACACTGCTGGTGGAATGTAGACTGGTGCAGCCACTGTGGAAAACAGTATGGAGTTTCCTCAAAAAATTCAATATGGAACTGCCATTTGACCCAGTGATTCCACTTCTAGGAATATATCCTCAGAAACCCAAAACACCAGTCAGAAAGAATATACAGTGGGGCCTTGACTTATGAGTGTCCCGACTAAGGAGTTTTTTGAGATACCAGCTGTCTCTCGGCCAATTTTTTGCATTTAGTTGATAGAGTAATTTGAGTTAACGAGCTCGGTCTCGGAACGAATTAATCTCGTAAGTCAAGGCCCCACTGTATGCATCCCTATGTTCATAGCAGCACAATTTACAATAGCTAAGATCTGGAAACAGCCCAAGTGCTGATCAGTAGATGAGTGGATAAAAAATCTGTAGTACATTTACACATGGAATACTATGCAGCAGTAAAAAAAGGAACTGTTACCCTTTGAGACAGCATGCAGGGACCTGTGAGTAGTATGCTAAGTGAAATAATCCAGTCAGAGAAAGATAAGTATCACATAATCTCACTCATATGTGAAATCTAATGAACAAAATAAACTGTTAAACAAAATAGATCCAGAAACATAGAAGCATGGAAGAGACTATCAAATCTCAGAGGGAAGGTGGGGGTAGGAAGAGATCAACCAAAGAACTTGTATGCATATATGCATAACCTATGGACACAGACAATAGGGTGGTGGAGGCCTGGGGTGGGGGTGGGGGCAGGCTAGAAGGGATCAATGGGAGAAAAAGGGACATATGTAATATTTTTTACTATAAAGATTTTTAAATTCAATTTTAAAAAGTCAACTAATTAAATTCATAGCATTAACTTGGAATGTTTCTTGACAATTGCAACATAAACCAAATTATTGATGAGACAATTGCTGATATGCTGCAGTCTTCTGGGTAGTGATCCTAAGTTACACCCCTCACATGTACATTCACTAGGAAATAATCATAATTACTTTTAATATAGCCCTGAGCTATCATTAGTGATAAATAATGATGATGATTACATTCAATGTTATTGACTACATGACTGATAATACTATTAACAAATTAGACTAGAGGTCTGTTCTGAAACAAATGCTCTAATGGGCAGAAGTAAAATCTTTTCAGGGAGAGGCCCAGAGCTACTCAGAGGTTGCCAGTACTGTCTCATATAAATTCTGATGGTATAAGATAGATAACCTAAGAGGTGATAAATCTCCAGTTCAACAAACACTCAGGCCCCTGCTCTGAGTGAGAATGAAGGATATTCTTGTACTTACCACTTGCATTTCTTAGCCAAGACTTCCAGCTTCATGGAGAGTGGCAATGGAGGTGCCT